AAGAAGACACCTCCGGTTTCAGATGTGAAAAGGGGAACCGAGGCCCCTGCCCCCCCCCGGGAGTTTTTCACCAGGGGAAAAGAACCCGGCTTCCTGTCCCACCAGCTGGGGAAGAAGCGAAAGCCCAGGGCAGAGGTGGGCAAGGGGCAACTGGGGGATGACGAGACGCCCACCAGGCAAGACCAGCCCTGCGCCCTAAGGCCTTGCCATGCCAAGGGGAGCAGTGCATGCTGGGAACTCTTGCCCCCCCCCCCGCTTGGCCATGGTGCCGCCGTGCATGCTGGGAGCTGCCTGACACCTGTGCATTCTGGGAATCCTCCCCCTCCCCAATTGGTCACACCTGGCTCCTAAGCGAGCCCTGCCCTGTGTCTCCACCTGCTCCGCCCGGACACCTGGGTTCTCCGCTGCCGGCCCTGCCCTGACCCCACAGCTCCCGCCCTGATGCCCCCCCCCCCCCCCCCAGTTCTCCTTTTTAGCACATCACGCCCCCAGCACGTCCGCTCTGGCCGGGGCCCAACCCGGGGGAAGGGAGGGGGGAGTGACCGTCTGGCGGCCCCTGGGTTCCTGGAAAATAAGCTCAGAGCCAGAGACAAGCAGACAGGACCGGCGGGCGCTGCCTCCCCAGGTAACGGGGCGGGCGGCCACGCCACCCTGGGCCCACACAGCCCCTGCCATGGCTGGACTGGGAACACGGGCAGGGGCGGGGTGGGGGGCGTAATATTCTATCTCTGTGCGGGGGGGGGGTGCACACGTTATGTGTCAGTTGTGACTGTGTGCCTTATAACAATCGCTCCGTGTGTGTTATGTGTGCATGCGTTGTATGTTGATTGTGACTGTGTGCGCATAACACTCTAGCTCTGTGTTTGTGTCAGTTGTTACTGTGTGTGTGTTATAACATTCCAGCTCTGTGTGTGTGCACACGATGTTTGTCCGTTGTGACTTTTTGTGTGTTATAACAATTGCTCTCCGTTTTGAGTGTGTGCACACGTTGTGTGTCAGTTGTGACATGGTGTGTGCGTTATAACACTCTACCACTGTGTGTTTGTGTGCACGCATGTGTGAGCATTGTATGTCGATTGTGACACTGGGTGTGTGTTATAACAATCGCTCTGTGTTTTTCTGTGTGTGTGTGCACGCATTGTGTGTTGGTTGTGACATTGTGTGTGATAACAATCGCTCTGTGTTTTTCTGTGTGCGCACACGCGTTGTGTGTCAGTTGTGACATGGCACGTGCATTATAACACCCTAGCTCCGTGTGTGTGTGTCTGCCCCGCAGCTGGACAAGTGCTGCCCCATAGGGGTCAGACCGACCCAGGCCAGGCAGCAGGGGGAGCCAGGGGCTGCGCGGGGGGGGGGTGCCCCCGACTCTTCGCTATTTTTCAGCGCTGGCTGGAGCGAAGTGAGGGTGCGTCTGGCTGTCCCCCAGTGTAGACAGACCGGTGGGAGGGTCTGTTGTGCTGTTCTGCGGGGGTCCGAGGATGCTCCAGATGCAAGCTAGGACAGGATGGGGGGGCCGGGGAGGGGCCTGAAATTTGTCTTGCTTGTGCTATGCCGATGGTTGGGCTCTGCTAGCTTTCGCGGGGTGGGGGTGAGTCTGGACCATGTCCCCGTTCTGGGTAAGTGGGAGGGCTGGGTCTTCCCTGCATAGAACCCAGGAGTCCTGGCTTCCAGTACCCCCCCCCCAACCCCCACTCCCCTCACAGAGCCAGGGAGAGAACCCAGGCGTCCTAGAAGCCCTGCACAGGGTTATTTCCCCTTTTCCTGGTTGAGAGGCACCATCCCAGCAGCAGCCGCAGTGCCAGCCGGGGGGGGGTGCGGCAGTGATAAAAGCCAGGTGTGGAAGTTGGCACGGTGCCCTCTGTCCGCCCACAGCTTGGGACACTTGGCAAGGAGCCAGACGTACCCCCCGGGCTGCCACCGATAGCTCCACCGCTCACGGGGCGCGAGGCTGGGAGCCCAGAGATGGACAAAGGGAGGCGGGGGAGACGCGGGGTCAGCCTGGCCATGCAAATAAACCCGGCCCCACCTCCAGAGAGGGTTGCTGTGAACCCTTCCCTGGCTAGGGGGCACCGGCCCCAGGGCAGGGACTGGCTGGCTCAGTGGGGCAGGGAATGGGACATGGGGTCTTTCCCCTCTAGGGGGCACTAGCCCCAATCGGGCTCTAGGGTGGGGGACTGGCTGGCTCAGTGGGGCAGGGAATGGGACATGGGGCCTTTCCCCTCTAGGGGGCACCAGCCCCAATTGGGCTCTAGGGTGGGGGACTGGCTGGCTCAGTGGGGCAGGGAATGGGGCACAGGGCCTCTCCCCTCTCGGGGGCACCGGTGCCGGTCCGGCTCCAGCGCGGGGGACTGGCAGGCTCTGGGAACAGGCCTCTCCCCACTCTCAATCTCTCTCTCTGTCTCAGGTCCCGTCATGGAGGCCAATGTCTCCTCCGGTCTCTGGCTGACCAGCCCTGGTCCTTCTCCTGCCAAGGCCAAGTCTGACCTAAACGCCGTCATGGACCTAGTCCAGGTCGTCTTCTACACCGTGGTCTGTGTGGGAGGTTCGCTGGGCAACGGGCTGGTGATCTGGCTCACAGCCCGCCGGGCCGGCCGCTCCGTCAACTGCGTCTGGTTCCTCAACCTGGCGGTGGCCGACTTCATCTTCTCGGTCACCCGGGTGGTGCCCCTGGTGAAGAACACCTTCTACCGCAGGCACTGGCCTTTCGGTGCCTTCCTGTGCCAGGCCACCAGCTTCATCAAATACCTCAACATGTTCTGCAGCGTCTTCCTCTTGGCGGCCATCAGCCTGGACCGCCTGGCGGCCGTGGCCTTCCCGGTGTGGTCCAAGAACCGCCGGGGGCCCCGCCTGGCGTGGGCGGCCGCTGCCGGGGCATGGGGGGCGGCCGCCGCAGCCAGCCTGCCCTTCTACCTCTACCGCAACCTGGTCCCAGAGGGGAAGACCAAGGGCCTCAAGTGCTCCTTGACGCTGGGAGAAGGACCCAAGCTGACGCTATATCTCCTCCGGCTGCTCTGCGGCTTCCTGGTCCCTTTCGTCATCATCCTGGCCTGCTATGGGGCCCTGGCGGCCGTGCTGAGGCGGCGCCCGGCCACCATCCGCTCCAGGAAGCCCTTCAAGGTCATGGCGGCCATCGTGGTGACCTTCTTCCTCTGCTGGGCCCCCTACCACCTCTTCCTCCTCCTCAAGCTGGCGGGCGTCAAGGGCCAGGCCATGGCCGTGGGCCTGCCTCTCGCCTCCTCCCTGGCCTATCTCAACAGCTGTGCCAACCCCGTCCTTTACTTCTTCATGGGGCTGGACTTCCGCCGGGCGCTGGGTCGCACCACCTTGGCCGGGGCCTTCCGCCGGGCCCTGCTTGAGGACATGGCCTACTCAGCCAGGTCCCACAGCTGCAGGAAGGAGGCAGCCTCCTCCGTGGACAGGCTGGCCCAGAGCTCGGTGGCCCCCAACCTGGCTTGAGACACCCCGAGGGAGCGAGGCCTGTGGGGCCGAGAGAGACAGAGACAGAGTGAGGTGGGGGCCCTGGCACGGACGGCAGTGGCGAAGGGAGCAGTACAGAGACAGATGCCAAAGGAGCCCCCAGCCATCCCACCGCAAACACCAATGTGCTTCTTCCTGACCGGAGACCTGCGGACGTCCCCAGAGCGGGGACAGTGGCAAAGAGGGCTACACACAGCCCTACACACACACACACACACACACACACACACACACACACACACACACACACACAGCGCCCCCACCCAATAGCCTTTATCCATCTCACTACCCCCACCAACGTGAGTGCAACTGTCCTAGAACCAGACTCTTCCATCCACCCCCAAAGCACTCGGAGGAAGAGCTCCACAAACACAGTCTCTGCCCACCCCCAACACACACACACGCCCCCCCCCCCCCCCCCGCCACCCGCGCATCGCCCCCCCCCCCCTCCCCCCCCCCCAAATGCTCCCCCCCACACACAGATCCACCCTATGCACACCCATCCATCCCACCTCCCCCACCAATGTGCCTCTCATTCTCTTAGGGCCTGGCCCCTCCTACATCCCCCCAGGGAGGGAGTCCAGCCAGGGGGCCGGGTTGTCCCAGTGGCAGTTTGGTCTGAGTCCCCACAAACTCATACCATGGATCATCCCATTAAAACAACGGCTTCTCCTTAAACGTCTCTGGCCTGTTCGCTGCACGTGAGCCCAGCCCCGACGCGGGGGAGGGAGCCTGGCACCCCCCAGCGCAGGCCCGGCTCAGCCGGAGACAAAGGGCTCCTTGTGACTCGGTGCTATCGGCACAGGAGAGGTTGTGGTTAAGAGTGGGGGTGGGGAGGCTGGGAGCCAGGACTCCTGGGTTCTCTCCCCAGCTCAGGATGGGGAGTGGGGTCTAATGGTTAGCGCATGGTGGGGCTGGGACTCCTGGGTTCTATCACCACCCCTGGGAGGGGAGTGGGGTCTAGTGGTTAGAGCAGGGGGGCTGGGAGCCAGGACTCCTGGGTTCGTTCCCTGGCTCTGGGAGGCCCCGCCAATCCTTGTGTGCCTGAGACACCCACAGGCTGTGGGTCAGAGCTGCCAGTCACAAACCTCCCAGTCTATCACCTGCTGCTTTGTGATCCACCCGGGGCACCGGCAGAGCTGCGGGGGGGAGCCCAGGGGGCTGGGGGCCAGGAGTGAGGGGCACCGGCAGAGCTGGCAAGGACTGGACTGGCAGGGGGTTGTGGGTCGGGAGTGAGGGGCACCAGCAGAGCTTGGGGGAGGGAGCCCAGGGGACTGCGGGTCTGGCACGAGGGCCACTGGCAGAGCTTGGGGTGGGGGAGCCCAGGGGGCTTCGGGTGGGGAGCGAGGGGCACCGGCTGCAATAGAACTAGACACACAGCCCATGGGTCGGACGAGTTTCTGTAATAAATAGTTGGCGTCAGCAGGGGGCAGCGACCCTGGGGCCCACAACAGACACATGGGGGAGGGGGGGGCAGGTACAGACGAGATCCAGGGGGGTAGGGGGCTCCCCCTGCTGCCACGTTTGGGCTCAGCCCCGGCCCCCTGAGCCTTGGCCACATGGCACAAAGCATGCTGGGAATGCCGCCCTATCAGAGAGACTCCACACTCCCCATTGGTCAGGACTTGGCCACGGCGCCCTCCAGGCACGGCCGCCATTGGCCAGTTCGATCCCAGTCTCCTCCAATTGGTGCATCCCTGAAGCCTGCTCCCATTGGTCGAGATTTCGGACAGTCAATGGGAATTCCAAGCCGCCATTGGTCAGTTCAGTCCATGTCTCTTCCCAGTGGTGCAAATTCCAGTCTTTTGGGTAACTGGCCAGGTTTCAAAGCCAGGCTGCATGCAATTGGTGGGAATTCCAACCAGGTGTTCCCCACCCCACACCCCCATTGGTTGGCATTTAAGGCAGGTCTCCTATTGGTGCAGATTCTGAACAAGTCTTTTACGGTTGGCCAGGTCTCAACCTTTCTCTCCACCAATTGGTGCAGGTCCCGGGCGAGCACGCATCCAATTGCCCAGCCTTCAAACTAGGCCTCCTCTGATTGGCCAGTATTCTGAGTGAGCCTCCTCCCATTGGTCGGGATTCAAAGCCACTTGCCTCCCATTGGTGCCAGTTCCGGGAACGTCTGTGTTTTAGAAGAGCTCTGATTGGAGGCAAACGCCTGCGCCCCATTGCTCCCCACCACGGTCGAGGTCAAAAGGGGCGGGGCCAGCACGGCTTCACACCTTCAAGAACCAAGTCCATCCCCCATTGGCTGCCCTGCCCTCAAGCCCCTCCCAGGGGCGGAGCCAATGGCCCAGCTGGCCACGCCCACCAGGTGGACAATGTCTTTGGTGGGTCCCTGGGGCGCTCCGCGGGCCCGGCTCAATAGCGCGTGTTCTCCTCGGCGGCCGTGACGATGGCGTCCATCCAGATGCGCATGGCCTCGGCGCTGGGCGCCACCAGGCAGAAGAGCCGGTCGTAGGTCTTGACACAGAAGGTCAGTTTGGGGTTGGGGCTCTGTGGGGGAAGGAAAGGGTCAGCCAGTGGAGGGGTGGCTGGGACCCCCTGGGTCCCTGGGCTGGGGGGGCGCTGGAGGGTTGGGGGGATGATGCCATAGGTTCCGGGGCTGGGAGGCAGGACGCCGTGGGTCCCAGCGCTGGGGGTCTGGAGGGTTGGGGTGGACATTGTGGGTCCCCATGCTGGGGGGAGTGTCGTGCATCCAGGCACTGGGGGGGATGCTGTGGGTCCTGGCACTGGAGGGGGATGCCGTGGAGCCGGGCCCGAGGGGGGGATCGTAATAAACCTCCTCGATGGCCTGGAAGTAGATGACGCCCTTGAGCTTCGCCTCCTCTTTGTCTGCAACGAGAGGGGACAGCGATTAGGAAGGGGGGCAGGGGGGCTGGGAGGGGGCAGGGATACAGGAGGATGCAGGAGGCACCGGCTCCCTAGTGGGGGGTAGCAGAGAAGGGGGCACCGAGGGGGATACCTGGGGGGCTCACCCACGGAGTAGGCCAGCAGGCATCACTGGGGGTGGGTGCCGGGGGGCAGGTGAACAGGACGGGGATGGTGGGTAGGGTGACCAGATGTCCCAATTTTATAGGGACAGTCCTGATATTTGAGGCTTTTTCTTACATAGAAGCCTATTACCCCCCACCCCCGTCCCGATTTTTCACACTTGCTGCCTGATCACCCTAATGCTGGGGGACGGGGGTACCCGGGGGCAGGGGGGTAGTACTGGGGCTCACCCACGTAGTAGGCCAGCAGGCGCCGCTGACGGTCGAAGCAGAACCAACGTTTCTTCCAGGTTTTGATGCGCCCGCCCATCTTGACCAGGAAGCCGCGGCAGGCCCTGCCCGTCACCCGCACCTCGGGGCAGGTCTCCAGGCTGTGCCCCGAGGCCTCCAGGTGGGCTCGCAGGTCCAGGGGGGTGGGGGCAGGAGGCTCCCGCGCCGGCCCCGGGCTCCGGTCCTGCATGGGCAACGCGGGGGATAAATGTGTGTGTGTGTGGGGGGGGGGGGGGAAGCGCGGGGACCCCCCCCCAACCCGCCCTGGGGGGGACTGGGTGGGGCCGGGGGGGGGGGGGGTCTCACCTGGGCAAGGGGGGGCGGCTCCGTGTGTTGTGTCTCCCCCTGGGCCACTCGCTTCGCCTCCTGCGGGGACAGGGCGGGAGGTCAGGGCCCAGTGGCCACCGTGGGGGGGGGACCCGGCCCCTCCACCCCAAAAGACCCCAATCTGGCCCCCCCGGCTCCCCTCCCGCCACACACCCCACCTTGACCCTGCCCACCCCCACCCCTCTGTCCCCGCCTCCATCCTGGCCCTGCCCCCACCTCCAAGCAAGCCCCTCCCCTTCCCCGCCCCACGCATGGCCGATCCC